CTCACACAATTCTTTTATAATTATACAAATTTTTTTGTTACATTTCATTAATTAAATCATAACAGGACTCAATTCAGAAATTATCAAAATCCTAACAATAGGTAACAAAAGTACTTATGAGCAAAAAATACACAATTTTCAAGTATAACCAATTTATCAGAGATTGTGTAAAATATAATTATAAGACTTTAATCATATTACGGTACTATTTTTAAGAGTCCATATTAATTTTAACTGATTAAAACCACACAAAATCTAAAACACATGAAAAAAAAAGTTTCCAGAAAATATTTAAAATGCTCGTAATCATGAACTCTATAACATACAAAAAGTTACACGGTGAAAATTATACCAATACAAAGTTATCCTCATTTTTTGATAACTTTCCCAACTAGCCAAGGCTAAAAATAACTCAAGGTGGTTCAAAATCCCTCTTGGTCTACCAAAGTAGAATGTACCATGACCCATTGGAAGCAACAAATTGCATGCAGCACTCAATCCTAAAATCATCAACTTTCATACTACTTGTTAGGTATGAAGAAAACCAAATGGGGATAAAATTTAGGCCAAACGAACGAGTGGTCAAATAAATTTGAAACTAAAAAACATAAGCTTATGGGTAGGGAAAATGGCATAGTATTTCAACACCATCAGTTTTTAGCTATCCACTATAAGACTAAATCCAAGTCTTTTAGGTGCCTTACCACAATAAATGTATGGAAAAGCAAGAGAAGATAGATTAGCAAATGCTTAAACCACATTACATGACAAAGTAACATCTAAAAATATGATTATAGAATTAGGTAATTTTTGTGTAATTAATGAAGAATAAAAAATGCACCAATTGGACTTGAATACAATCATATGTCTTTTTAGGTATTTAACATGTAGTCGATAGGTTATTGAAGAAGAGCTCACCCACTGGTTATGAAATCCAACTCTACAAAGGATTCATCAGGGAGTCGAGTCCAACGTGAAAAGTTTGAGATATTCGCAATTCATTGAACTAGCCACTCGACCCTAATGAACAACTCACCAACAAAGCTGCTCACCCTCTATCTTAGCAGGGGAAGACCTTAATCTCAATCTCACTCGCATCCTCAATAATAGGGAAAGTATTTATTCAAGAGACTCTCTGCTTGCCCATCCTCAATCAGCCGGCCATAGAGTTTGTCTTCCCAACCACACAAGCTCACCTGCCTCTCCTTTTGCAAGGCAAACTAGAGCTCTAGCAAAGGCTACTAGTGACTCCGGGAACCCACCAGCATCAATTTCCTCCGTTCATGACTAGCCTATATCTGCTCCCCTATATGTACTCGGCACTCTAAAGTTTACAAAGAAGCAAATTAAGTTAAGCTCAAGAAAGGTTACACCACACCACACCCAACTAGAGGGTGACACATGGACAAGCCAATCAGCAGTCATTAAATTCTTATATTTTTTTTTATTCATTTCATTTATGCAACCTTTTTTGTAGCTATCTGATCCCTATCAATAAATTGCGAAGAAGAACATTTGGGACTTTTAGTATTCTCTACTATTATTACTACTTGAATTAGTGTACTCTGTTTCTTTTTTTCCCCCTAGCTTTATCTCCATTCTCACAGGTTTCTGATAGGAAACACTTGGATTTCCAAGTGTTTCTCACCAAGATCAAGTAGATCCAAGGAAAACTGCTGTCCACAGCAGAAAAACAGCCAACTGCACAAAAACCTGAGAGAAAACGTAGGAAAAAAAACACTGCAAACACTTTTATTTCGATGACGGACGAAAAGCACTTGCAAGATACAACTTTCCTTCAATTCGAGAGGAAGGAAAAACTCTCCAAAAGATCTCCGGCGAAGCCAAGAGCCCAAGACACCAAAACCTAGATCTCAAAACAGTTCCAATTCAAGATAATCCAATCCCTCCCAAAAACACCTAATTAAAGACAAAGGAATATTACAAATGACCTAAACACCCCTTAGTTCAAAATATTTCCCTCCTAATCTTGCATTTAGCCCATAATGGGCTCCACCAAGTTTCCGCCCAGAGCCTGGCTCCCGCTGGGTCTATTCCGTCGCCTGGAATAGACCCGGACCGGTCCCTCCTGGACCGGTCCAGCCGGCCCCTCCTGGGCCGGCGTAACAAACATACAATAAAATTGTTCAGCTGGTTACCTTTGGGTCCATCCCGGTTTAACCAGCTTTTGTCCTATAAACTGGGAACAAGAGAGCCAGGACAAAAGGGCTCATCGACCCTTGCTAGCGAAGAAGCAGGGTCTTGGTTTTGGTGAAGCACTGAATCACTGCATATAAGGATGGAATCGAGCAACTATCACCTATTTTTCATCTTTGGCAGTGCATCCTGCTCAAGCATGAACACACCTTGAATGATTAGAGTTCTGACCCTCTATACTGCTAGTTTCTTTAAACTCTAAGCTCGTCCCCTTCCTACCCTATTGTTCTTTTTTGGTAGTTCAAAGATCTCCTAAGCGTGATTTTTTTCCAGCACATTCATCTCTTCTCTCATGGCATCTTTTCATTTCGTTTTTTCAAGTGCCTCAAATAGAGTTTGTGGCATTGTAATGAAATTAGAGTTGATATTTGTAAGGAATGTCTTATGGTAGGAGGAAAAAATTTGAAAAGATCTGTACTAGGAGATGAGATATAGATGAGAATGTATAAATGGGTTGATCATTATTACCTAATAATAGTTGCGAGTGTTGAGCTTTTTGGAGATTGACTGGCTTGGATAGACTTAAAGGGGTACAATATTTGGGTTTTTTTTTTTTTATTTGTTTTATAAGAATGTAAAGGGGTGTCAATATTTGATTCCACCCAAAACCCAACCCGAAAATTTCCGGGTTCGGGTCAACTCGTTTTCCAGATGGGTTGGGCTTGGATTCAAGATTCTGACCCGTTTCGAAAACCAAGTCGAGCTCGGGTTGACCCGAAAACTCGAAGGTGGGCCGAATGCAACCCGTGTGGGTGGCGATTGGTTATTCTCTCTCATTCTCTTCTTGATTCTGCTCCTGGCCCGGACATCAATCGTGATTGCGTCGCACCCATCACGCGTGACTGCTTGCACCCTGCACTTGCATCGCGCTCGCGTAGTACCCAACCGCTCTTTGCTCACCCCGCACTCACTCTTGTATTGCACACCTCGCGCCTTGCCCTCATCTCTCGCCCGCTCGCGTCACTCATCTTGCTAGCTTATTGGAACCCGAGTTAGCGGGTTGGGTCAATCTGGAAACTCGACGGGTCTGGTCTGGGTCTGAATTTCTAACCCGTTTGCCTAAACGGGTATGGTCGGTTTGGGTTGAATTAGTTGAACAGAGTTAGTTTCTGGTCGGTTTGGGTTGAATTAGTTTAACATCCCTACCATAAGGTGGTGAATCTTTCCTATTCCTTTCAAAATGGTTTTTTTTTTAAATTTGGTATCACTTTAGATAATTTCTTTCATTCAAGCGATATAAGGCTTGTAGCCTTTGGAGTTCTCCCTCAATCTGTGTTTTGCCATTAATGATGGTTCATCTCTTGGAAGGGAAGTTAAAAAAAAAAAAAGAAACAGACATGATGAAGAGAATGAATAATCTGAACAAGAAGAAAAGCGAACAAAAGTTGAAAGGAGGAAATCTTAATCTCTCTCTGATGCCATATGAAAAAGTAAAGAAGTATTAATTGTGGAAGTATTTTTATACTTCTCTAAAAGTCATGCAATATAAAATAAATCAAAGCTATTTATGAAAAAGGGGAAATTTTTTCCCAAGAGGGCCCGACGATTAGAACTGGAAGGTGAGGGCATGAGGCGCACGGATTGTAAACTAAGGGACATAAGAGAATCGATCCAAAGGTCAGTAACTCTTAATCCATGTGTTTAAGGATCCCAATCAAAATTGATTGATTTGTAGGTTTTACGATCATTCAACAATTATTTGTTTCTTAAAGCTTATCATTTTGTGTCATTGTTGGGTTGAATTCCTTCTTTTGGTTTCAGGTCAAGTTAGAGTCATATTCAGGATCTGGTTTAGACATTGAAAGTCCTAGCCATAGAAAATTCCTGTTATTTTCCAGTTTGATGCTGGTTTTACCCGTTTATTTTTTAATGCACCAAAATATTCATGGATGGAGCCTAATGCAATCAATTGCTATAATGTAATCAACTAGTTGATGTCATTCAGAAAATTCCTAATTACCATTGAGCTCATGTGACTGAAGGGATAAGATTACGCATATCAATCCCTTGATAGATCTTGTCTCTTGTTGTATCTTATGTGGATGAAGTAAATTTATCTCAAAGAGAAATCTGTCGCCATCTTTTTGTCTGATGGATGGTAGTGTGGTGGGGTAAGTTTGGGTTCATAATATTTTAAGTACTTCTCATGAAATTTTCACTCGACTTCCAATAGCAAACAATATTTTGGAGCTAATATTAGACTTCCAACAGCAAAAGAAGTACATCTAATATCGTTTAGGTGCCACTTGACAATCCTGCACAAAGATGTTGCTCCATCATGAGTTGCAATTCAAGGAATGAAAGGCATCGGGCTTTGGTTGTTTCTGGAATGATTGCTAAACTGAATTCATAGTGATACCCTTGTTTTTCGCTTGATAAAATTCATATAGCTTTCTCCTCCACATGCTCCATCTGATAAAGTATTTCGTTTTACTTTTTTTTGGTTGTGCCCTTTAAGCTATCAGTTATAATTGTTAGCACTTTCAGACACGTCAGTATTATAGGCTTCGGTTACCGTTTAGGACATGTCACGATCTTCTTTCCTTATTCTTGTTTCTTGTAACCTCTCTTCATTGTTCTCGCCCCTTTTAAGTTTCTAATATCTAATCTCAAAAATCTTGTTCCCACCCTCCTCACCAACAAGAACTATTCCATTTGCCGCCTTCAGCTGCATCAACACTTCGCCGCCAACGGTTTCAGCGGCCATCTCACGGGCACCACCGTGTGTCCTCCTGATTCTTCTGCGGCCGAGCAAAATCTATGGAAACTCATTGATCATAATCTCATTTCTGCTCTTCCATTTACAATTTCTCCTTCCGTACTTCCGTATTCATGCATGCCATTGCTTTCTTGACGATTTTCCATTTCTCACAGGCTATAGAATCAGGCTTTGGATATGGGCAGTGGCTCCATGGAGAAGCTGTTGCAGCTGGCACGGTGATGAACCCTATCTCACACATCACTACGGTTTCGTTTGGGACAACTTTTTTGTTGCTTCTTAAAATAGCTTTCTAGTATAAAATTTTAAATTCTTGTACTAAAAAACTGTTTTAAGAAGCAATAAAAAAGTTATCCCAAACGAAGCCTATCATATATCTCAGTTCTTATTGATGCCATTCGTGTTTCAGAGGTACTAACAAAGCACTTTTTGAGCAGGTTATGGCAATTGACATGTCCTATCGCCTTGGCTGGATCGACCGTAGCATTGTAGAGCGAGTCCACAATATCTTAAAGCAGGCCAAGCTTCCCACTGCACCTCCTGAGATGATGACTGTGGAGTTATTCAAATCTGCCATGGCGGTAATTTTAGTTTTTACACATTTTTCCCTTTTGGTTTTTGCTTTTTAGTTTAACAATGCTTTTACTTTGGAACTTCAGGTCGATAAGAAGGTAGCAGATGGGCTTCTAAGGCTCATCCTCCTTAAAGGTCCTCTTGGTAGTTGCGTTTTCACTGGGGACTATGACAGGAAAGCACTAGATGAGACTCTCCTAGCCTTCTGCAAAAGTTAATTGCTAAAGCCTGTAGGTAAGAGTAATTATTAGATGCGGATACCGCACCTAGAGATGCCTCCCAATACTGCGTATTTTATGCTTAAGCTATGCCTATGTTATGCGTATTTACCGAGTATACACTGTGTATTGCAAGCAACAAATATTTAATTGTGAGGATTTGCTGCTTATTTGTTGTGTGTATACAAATACGCAGAGTATAAGCAGAACATACGCAGTGTAAGTATAGTGTACGCATAACGTACATAGTGCATCCAATAATCCGGACGCATCTCTAGGTGTTGTGTCCGCACCTAATAATTACTCGTAGGATAAACGAAACTCTAGCTCCTCTTATGAAGTTCTTTATCTTACCTATTGTTGTTTGTAATATAATCGAGAATGTTGAGTGTGAATGCTCATCAATTTGTTTTTGGAGGGAGGATTTTCCTTTGGGAAGAAGAATAATGGAGAGGATGTGCTTGGCTTTCCTATCTCAGTATTTGCTGTGCCATTAATTGCAGGAGATATGTGCTGTCTTACCCATTAATGGCTTTTCATGACTGAGCGCTCATTATTCCAATATTAATTGATACAAATATATTTGATGTTTCAAAGATGTTTTTTGGATATATGGTGGTGGGTGAGAGGCTAGTAGGAGTGGTGCAAAGATTGAATAATTGAGACTTAGATTTTGTTTGGGATAACTTTCTTATTATTTTTTAAAGAAGTTCTTTGATGCTAAAAATTTTTTTATTAAAAAGCTGATTTAGAAAGTAGTAAGAAATATATACTAAATGAAATCTTACTCTTTTGAAAATAATGGAAACATCTAATTTTTTAAAAAATATTTTTAAAAAACAAGATATATTTAATGTATTTTTAAAAATGAAAATAGAAATATTTGAAAAACACTAATCATTATATTTTTATTAAGTGTATAAAGATAATAAACAGATAAATAATTATCTCTTGTTTAGGTGGCGTTAGCCTATTGGTTCTTATACTTTATACTGGCTATACAATAACTTGTAATCCTCAGATATTGATTCAGAATAATAATAATATGCAACTTCTTCTTCTTTATCTTATTTCCACTCTCTTCTTGATCTGAGATCACTGTTCTTGCTTCTACATGGTATCAAGAGCTAGGCAAGAAGAGACGGTTCAGAAATGAGCTTCGCTACATCAGATCCCGGAGAAAAATCGGAGATGGAGGAAATGGAAGACTCAACTATTCCATCCGCACTGAAGTTTGTTGTATCGAACTTGAAGACGATCGTCTCCATCCAGCTAGATGCCGACAACTATCCCGTATGGAAAGCACAAATTGCAAAAAAAATTTCGTGCAAACGGGTTTGATCGGTTTCTTTCTTCTTCTTTCTCTTCTCCGGTCACGATTCCCTCTCAATCTGAAGGAACTTCCACTCAAACTCGCCAGCACAATCAATGGCTCCTAACGGACCAAAATCTTGCCGCTGCCCTCTGTTCTACGATCTCCTCTAACATTTTACCATATGTAGTTCATCTCGAATCTACAACTGCAATATGGTCTATGCTTGAAACAAGATTTCAATCTACAAATAGATCAAAAGTTATCCAGCTCAAGAATTCTCTTCACAATATGTCGCTCAAGAATCAATCCATAAGCCAATATTTATTTGAGATCAAGAAAATTGTTGATCAAATTTCGGCATCACGCGCAACGGTGGATCATGAAGACATTATCCTATACATCCTCAACGGTCTACCACCGGCGTACCAGTCGTTCAAGACATCGATCCGTACGATGTTAACGCCTATCTCTCTGGATCAGCTCTATCCCCTGCTTCTTAGCGAAGAAGTGAACATTGCCTCTGACAATGCTCGTGCTGCCTCATTTTCGGATCCTCATTCGGCACTATTCACTACTCGCGGCAGAGGCAGGAGGTCTCGGGGCAGAGCATCGACGAACAATACAACGACGTCTCGCTCCTCATCCAACTCTCAGGTGATATGCCAAATATGTGAAAAGAGGGGTCATTTGGCATCCAGTTGCTGGCACCGAGCGAACCTTGACTATGTTCCTAAACAACAACAATCGCAACCCAGAGCCTTGACGGCAAACTCAGAAAACTCCTACTCTGAGTGGTTTCTTGACTCGGGTGCTACCAATCATCTCACCAACTCACTGGACAACTTGTCCATTGCCACACCGTATCAAGGCTCCAATACAGTGACTGTAGGTGATGGGAGATCGGTGAACATTGCTAACACCGGCAATGGACTCTTACCGACTCCCAACCGTAAGCTATTTTTATCTCACATCTTTCACACACCATTTTTACAGTTCAATTTACTTTCTATCTCTCAACTTACTCAAGAAAACAACATCTCAATTACCTTTAATCCAACTGGTTTTTTTTATTAAGGATATGAAGACAAACCAGGTACTGCTTCAAGGCCCCTGTGAAAACGGGTTATATCCAATAAGGCATCGGACTCCTTCTACTACCGGCATTGGACTCACGGCTGTCTCCAAGAATTCACTCAAATGGCACCATAGATTAGGTCATCCCAATGAGAGGGTGATGAAAAACATTTCTAAGTGTAATCCGTTACTAAAAATAAACACTGAAAATATTGTTTGCTTACCGTGTAAACAATCCAAATGTCATAAAATAGTTTTTGAAAATTCTAATAACC